GGAGGAGGAGGATGGGGGGGTGGGGGTGGTTTCGAGCCCCCGCCGCTCGAAAAAATAAAAATAATACTAATAAAAAAACCAATCCGACTGAAAGACGCGCGGAAAAAGCCAACCAAACAAAAAAATAATTAAAAAAAAATAAAATAAACCAACCCTCGACAATTTTTCGATGTCGGACCTATGGGTGAGGGGGGGCTGGGGGATGGAGGGTACCAAATCCTAACGAAAAGGCCTCTGTTTGGTTTCCAGCCGGGGCTCTGCGGGGCCAAGGGAAGGAGGACCCCAGCAAAGGTGAAGAGGATGCAAAAGGCAAAGAGGAAAGTTTCTCCATGGACAGCGATCTAGATTATAGCTCGGATGACAACATCCCCGGCCAGGCGGCTCACAAGGAAGAGGACTCTGGCAACCCGCTGGAGGAAAACCCCCAAAACCCTCCCAATTCAGCCAACACCACGTCCACGGGCAAAAACCGCCGGAGGAGAACGGCCTTCACCAGCGAGCAACTGCTGGAGCTGGAAAAGGAATTTCACTGCAAAAAATACCTATCCCTGACGGAAAGATCCCAGATCGCTCACGCCCTCAAACTCAGCGAGGTGCAGGTGAAAATTTGGTTCCAGAACAGAAGGGCTAAATGGAAACGGGTCAAAGCGGGCAACGCCAACTCCAAGACGGGGGAACCTTCCCGAAATCCTAAAATCGTGGTCCCCATCCCGGTGCACGTCAGTAGGTTTGCCATCAGGAGTCAGCATCAGCAGCTGGAGCAAGCCCGACCCTGAGCTTCTTGCCCTACCGCTCAGAACCACAAGTTGGTTTTTTTTTTGAAGGGGGGAAAAAAAACAAAAAAACTTTCCGAATGGGGGGTTTTAAAAGCGACCCGCCCGAAAAAGAAATAAATAATAATAATTAAAAAAAAAGAAGAAGAAAAAAAAAGAACCCTAAAGCAAACAACAAGAAAAAAAAAATTTAAAAAAAAAATCCACAAATCCCCACCATGAGTGAACTTTGAAGTGAAACTTTCCACTTACCGAGTCAAGAAAAGAAATCTGCGGAGAAAAAAAAGGCTTGGAAACTGTTTTGGTTCGGAGCAGGAATTATCGATACTCTGGAAGAGAGACACAGATATTTATTATTATGCTGCTTTTCCCCCCCCTCCATCCCCCCCCCACTCCTACACACACACTTTGTACATAACTCGTGCTGTTTTGGCTGCGATGGGGACCCCAGAAGCGGTTCAGGTGTCGGCGCTGGATCCAGCAGAGATTTACCCCCCCCGTGTGTGTGTGTCCCCCCCCTCAACACCTCCCAAAAATCCCCTTCCTCACCGCCAGAGACATCCCCGGCGAAACCCGCAGCGCGCCCTTTAGCCATCCTTTGGGGTTTTGGTTCTTACCGGGGGCGACAGGTAAAAAAAAAAAACAAAAAAAACCACAAAAACCCAAGCAAACAACAAAAAAAAGAGAGAACAAAAAACCCGAAAGAAAACCAAGAGTTTAATTTCCTGCCTTTTTTTATCGTTTGGTTTTATTTCCGATGGCTGAGCGGCGAGCGCTGGGGACCGATTTTTTTTATTTTTTTTTAAATCTATTTTTTTTGCCTGGTTTTCTGTCGATTTGGTTTGCCTGTTCTACCAAGCCATGTTTAAAAAAGAGAGAGAGAAAAAAAAAAAAGAGAGAGAAAAAAAAAAAGTTGACAGCAGATTTTTAGGCTAAATAACGACCAGGGCAGCCTCTTCTGCCAGCACCGCCTTTGAATGCCCCGTCTGTTCTCTCATGTTCTCGCCGTCGAAACGCAAGGTGTCGGGGGGAGGGTGCGGGGTGAGGGTGCGGGGCCGGGGGC